TTCACTATTATGGATCCCTTATAATGAATTTAAAAATTTTATGGTGAGAGGAAAAGGCGGATTTGCAACAGTATATGGAGCTAAGTGGATAGACCAAAATCAAAATGTAGAAAGAAGTGTTGCGCTTAAATTATTACATGGATCGAACAAATATCAGGATGAGTTTATTAAAGAGGTAGGATTTGTTTTAATCTTATTCTCACATTTTTTATTTTTGAATTAATTTCTTTTCAAACATTAAAGTTAAAAGCATATTGTGATATCGGTTATAAAAATCCATCATTTTTAAAATGCCTTGGAATATCAAGAGATGATACTTCTAAAGACTATATTCTTGTTTTGAAAGCAGCGATGATAGGATCCTTACGTAATAATCTTTACAAAATAGCACAAATGAATTGGAGAAATAAATTAAATTTATTGCTTTGCATTGCATCAGATCTCATTCTCATAAACTTGTTCACCAAGATTTGCATAGTGGTAATATATTGCAAGATAATTTATATAGTGCATATATTGCCGATTTAGGACTTGCAATACAATCCAATATAGCATCTGAGATGGGATCAGAAGAAATTTATGGAATTTTACCTTACATTGCACCCGAAATTTTTGATAAAAAACCGTATGTTACAGCATCTGATATTTACTCATTTGGCATAATTATGTGGGAAATTTTATATGGAAAATTGGTATACTGCGATCGTGAATTTGATAATCAACTTCAAATAGAGATATGCTGTAAAAATTTAAGACCAACTATCATTAATAATACACCACAATGCTATATAAATCTAATGAAAGAATGTTGGGAAAAATGTCCAGAAGACCGTCCAACTGCAGAAGAAATTTATAATATTTTTACAGAATGGAAAGATGACGAAAAAATATTAACTGAATCTGAACAAGTATTAAAAAATGTGTTGAATACACATGACTCAACATACGTTGAATCGAATTATAGAAGTAGATCTTATTACTCTACAAATCATATTCTCGAGATTATCGATAATTCGGATATCTAACTTGTAAGTTGCATAAAGTAAAACCGAATTACACACAAAGCTTATAAAATTTTATCTTGTATCATTTATAACTAAAATTTCAACATTTTTCCTTGTCGAAAACTGCCTATAAAACTCTTATTGTTCAAAGGGAAGCGAATTTTGATTTTGATAAGAATCTAGCTGCATTCCAACCCACAGGAAAACTATATTAACTTCCAACAATTTCTACTATTAAATTTGCTATTTTTATACTCTTTAACCTCTTAATCAGATTGTACTGTCGCGAAATAACACATCATTTCCAGAGAACTAATACTTAATTGACGAATATTTTTAAAAATAAAAATTAAAAAATAAAATTATAGATTGTATTCATCAATTAACTCACTTGAAATGATTTGTCTTGAAATAATACACCGGGACATTAAAACCCTAGCCATGGCGAAAAAAAAGTTGCAGTCACATGATTTTGAGGCAATCTAGCCAATTAGATCGCAAGATCACATGTAACGTGAAAATTACACATTTTTTGTTTTATCTTATAAAACCGCCTCTTGCGCTCTAACAAAAAAAATTCCTCGCAAAATTTTGGTATGGGATATACTTCTCTTCTAACCCTAATGATAGAGTTTGTTGTTTTAAATATAGTACTTATTTGATTTTCACAGATTGGGTTAAGTCACGTGACTGCAACTTTTTTCGCCATAGCTAGGGTTTTCCCGGGACATTATTTTGCAATTATATGGTAGTAAAATTTTTGAACCATTATATTTTTTTTCAGTATATCAAACTGTTTTTTGTATTATATGCAATGCTACTTGAAGATATGTAAGATTATTAAAAAACAAGCTTGTTTTGTCTCAAAAAGCTCAACCCAAAATCAAAAAACTGGGTTTCTTTCTCTTTATCTACTTTAAAGAGTTAGCTTCTCTAAATACAGTCTATCCTTGTTATAACAAACTCTGTTATAGTAGATCATAGAGATAGTAAATGATTTAAAACAAAATGTTTTAAATCAGTTTCATATTGTTCAAAATTGATTTTTATTGTTTTAAATCAAGGTAATACAATTATATATTATCAATATTCTGTATATAGTAATTATATTATTATTTAATAAAGTAATTATTATAATAATAATTAAAAAAATAAATTAATATGTATTTAATATATTGATATTAATATTCATTCAATAATTATAACATTATTTAATAATTTAATATTATAATGATAATTAAAAGATAAGTTAATCTATTTAATATATCAATATTGATATTTTCAATAATTATATCATTATCTAATAATTTAATTAGTATTTATAATTAAAAAAAATTGATTTAATAATATTTAACAAGTCAATATTGATATTTATTCAATAATTATATCTTATAGTAGGTTACCTTTAAAAGAAATTCATAAACATTTTGAGAAAGTTGAAGCTGATGAATATAATTAAAAAATTGCTTATCAAAATACAATTATTGTAAAAGTAATATTGTAGATTTAATTGATCAATCAAAAAATTATTGAAAAAAATACAAAAAAATTTTAAAGTATATAAAAAATTTATTACTTTTAAAATGCAAAAAAATTCTTTTGATTCAGAATCAGAAGGGATTTATATGATTCTAAAGATATTAATAATGTACTATCAAGATTTTTTTATTTAGTTAGAATTATTTTTATAGCAATTAAAAATCTATTTTAGTATGAGTTTATAAAATTATACAACCAGTTTATACTAGCCCAAGTTATCAAAATTTAGCTAATAATTTGTTAGATAAAGAATATCAGATTGAGCAACAGGTTTTAAATATAGTATTAAAAGATGCATTAAATATCACTTTGTTATCAGATAGATAGTCAAATATTAGACAAAAATCAGTCTTGAATTTTATTTTTTGCCTTCTCAAGCCTGTATTTTATAATGTTAAATTTATAGATTCTGATTTATATAATGAATATTTGAAGATTTAGTTTATTTTTGTGAATAGATTAAATAGTATTTAAACAAGTATTTTAGTGAGTATCATATGATTAAACTAAAATAACTGTATTTGGTTGACTTAATAAAATTGCTTATTTCATATAATATATATAAAAAATTTAATAATTTGTCTAATTTGAATTATTAGTTTATTTGTATTCTCAAGCCTAAAAATATCTTTGACTAAAAGATTTCTAACATATACATTATACCCAAAACAAATTAATTTCAAATAATCTTGGTTTAATCATTTTCAAGCAGTTTTTATTGTACTAGCAGCAAATTTAAATAATCTAACTAATTCAATAATTAATTTAATTTTTAATTTTTTGATAGATATATTCTCTAATATATATTCTAATATTAGTAAAAAAAATTAACTATAATTTTTATAAGAATTTATTTATGATTAACCTCCGGTGAATTTCACTATGCAGGGGTATACCCAAATTAAACTCAGATTTATTTGGTAATAATTAATTTTCGGTATTTACGTATATACGTATATATGTAGGTAAATTTTACCGTAAATACGGTGTATTCTCCCTGCATATACTCTAGGTTAAATATGAGTTAGGGATATACTCAGGTACACAAAGTCAAACTTTTATAGCAATTATTTCATAAATACAAGAAACTAACGTGATTAAAACCATGATCAACTTTCTTTCAAGTACTTCACGATCTATTTGGAGTAATATTTAATTTTCAAGATTTACGTATGACGTATGTAGATGAATTTCACTATAAATAATATTACATAATTATTTCATTAAATACAAGAAACCAACGTGATTAAAACCATAATCAACTTTCTTTCAAGTGCTTCACAAAACTATAAAAACAAAATTTGCACCAAAAAATAATAAGTTGGTCAGTAAAAATTAGAAACGAATTACCAAGTAAGCAAGTAAATCTTATATAAACTATCAGATTAGAATTTGGTAACGACTTTGCACAACAATTTTAATAGATGTAGATTGAGACTCATTTGTAACGCTTCCAGATATATTCAATGATATAAATCCTTTATCACTTTCTGACAATGAAGATAATGATATTATCATTAATAAAAATCTTTATCCATCACTTTCCAACTATAATAATAGTGTCAACTTTAATACAAACCTTTTACTACTTGCTGAATATAGCAATAATCATCTGTCATTTTCCATATGTGATGATAACTTTTTATCTTTATCTGAATATGTTGATAATGTTGATACAAATATTCTATCGCTTTTTGAAAATAGCAATAACTCTGGTGATATAAATGCTACTAATTATCAATATAATCTTTGTATGCGGGATCTTTTGATGATTGGCAATCAGTTGATACGTTTGTATACAACTATTGCTTAGAGAGAGATTTTGAATATCAAATATTCTATAATAATAAAGACCCAAATGATTCTACTATAATTTGTCACAAATCTTTCTATTGCTTATCAAGTAGTATCTACAAACCTCGCAAAATAATTGATCAAAATATATATTGTGTATAGGGTACTATAAAGACAAATTGTGAATAGCATTGCAATTCTACATTTTCTAAAACTGCATATCAGATAAAATGTACGACATTAGAAAGCAAACATACTCACGAACTAAATCTTGCTGAAATATCTGATATTATTGCTAGATATCAGCATTTTAGTGATGATATAATACAAGATATCGAGTTTTTTTTGAATTGTAAAGTAGCACCAATTATTCAATAGAAATTCTTAAAAAAAAGTATCCACAGCATGTGTTTCATAAGCAAGATGTCTATAACATAATTTATAAATTACGTCAAAATAATAATAAGAAGACTGATTCTGTTTCATTCTTTGATACTCTTTTTGAAAAAATATCTCAAAACCTATGTTGAAAGGTATATATTCGATACTCCAGTGCTGAACGTTACTTATCAGGTGTTTTTTAGATATCACCCTCTCAACAAGAATTGTACCAGCGCTTTTCTGATATAGTACTTAATGATAATACATATAAGACCAATAAGTATAACATACAGTAGGGTAGTATAGCATTATAGACACTTTTTGAAATTTTATATTGAGCTAAATAAATAAGATATAAATCTAAAAATTACACAAAGTATTA